CATACAAGGTCAAGTTTCAATCACACAAGTTTACGGTGCTGCACATTCAGCGTTCATTCGGTGACGTAATAGCCATGTTTTGTTTTGGTCGCGATACGTTGTGTTAGACGACGAGAGCGCCAAAGAGGACACGACATTAGGTATCGTTCACCTTGCCTATGTCTCTCCGTCTTCTGATTTCCATTAATCGGCCACTCCTTCTACGTCTGCATAACATTGTTTACCCGTTACTTTTAAGGAATAGGTGCATCCCCATGTCTGAGCGCACAAAAAAAATTGGGAGCCCCATCATGCTTTATTATATCAGACGTTAATCAAGTACTGTGCATGTTCAAAAGAAAACAGTCAAAATCCAGGTGCATTTAAGCTTTTGGGTTAGTCAAAATCATAAAAATGTTCATGAGGCTTACAATCTTTCGGACTAAAATTTTAGTTATGATTTTTTTGACTGTAACGTCACCATATAATAACATACTTCGAAACCCTCAAGGCCACGAAGGAATGAAATTGTACGTGCGTCCAAACTTGGGCAGTACTGTATATCTCAAGACTGTGGAGAAGCCTAGCCCTGGAATACATTTCCAAACTATCTTGTAGGAGTTCCGGGAGAATATGTAAAAAGTTTGATTACACATATTCGCTCATTTACACCAAGCTATAATTTAGTTTTAAAGCAAAGTTCATTGTATTTTTACATGCGTAATGCTATTCGCATTCTTCCCATTGTAGAAAAGAGGAGTAAAATCCTAGAATAGCAGGGACATATCATACAAAAATGAAATTCGAGTAAGAAGTTTGTTGTACGATAACAAAAACTGCAGCTATGGGGTACTATATCAGGTGAAACTCGATTTCATTGATTTCACGAAAATCTTTCAGCAAATTTGGTTCAGAATGTGGAAAGGAGAAAGGCCAAAAAATGTTCTCTCTTCCAAAAGAATATCGTTTACCGAAGAACTTGAAGCCATGTGGGTAGAAACTATGTGTATTTGAAGGTTGCTTCATTTCTCAGTTAGCGTGTACAGCCTTGAAACAAACTGGCTTGCTGAGGAAAAGAATAAAGTTGAAGTCACACCGCATATTAGCATGCAAATCAGCAATGCATCAAAGCGCTGATTTTGAATAACTTTTCGTAATTGTTGAGCTCTTCCTATTGAAACATTTCTTTTAAACGGAGTTGCTTTATCGACAAGTGATACCATAAGAACGAATAAAGCGCAGTGCCAGTGGGCCTGTACGCCAAAGGTATAATCGTGTTGCGGTGGCCACTTTGATGTCACACAGATGCAGTAACTGCGCAAAGTTTATTTTTTAAGAAGCTTCCAAATCGTGCATAACAATAAAAGTTGGGGTGGTAGTAATTTGAGAATGAAAACAAAAAATCGTTTTCTTTACATGCACACCTTTCGCACTTCACTCAATTGTGCTATCGCTTTTCAAGAAATTACTCTTCGACTACTTCAAGCAAGGAAAGAATGAAGAAGTGACAGACAGCGTAGCAGGTTCCCAAAGCCTCGCCTTTTTCCTGAAGCGAGGATTTGAGCATCCTAGGGTGATCTAGCGCCTCCTAAACGTTGAGCTCAAATTTCGCCCAATGCTCTGCCTGTAATCAGACTGGCTTGTGCAAGCCCGATAACGGATAAATCTAAGACCAACAAAGCGGAAGAGGAAGTAATGTAATATTTTCTTCATATTGTCGTCTGATTTAGAATGAAAAGTGATGAAAGGAAGGATTTTAAAAAACACTCTTTGTAACCTATAGAAACGCGTGCAATATAGACAGGATTGCAGTGCTGTTTACTTAGAGGGTGTTTTATTAAGGTAAAACGATC